AGGGAGCCAGACCCCAAAACGCTAGAGCACTGCCAGGCAAAACAGGCTCGGAGGAGCACGTAGTACCTGGCCAAAGCAGCGGGAGTGAAGGGACAGGCTCTTGGAAGGAACCAGCATGGAGGGTGGTGATGGACACAAAAGGAACTTGGGGAAAGCACAGGAGGTGTTTCAGAACAGGGATGCTTCAGCCAGGGAAGTGCCAGATGAGTCACTAAAAAAAGTTTATGTGACATTCCGCAACTTCATGTTTTCAGTTGAGACAAGCTGAAGCTATGGGATGGTTTTTCCTGCAGTAGTCATGCCCATCATGCCCATCCCGAGTTACTTGGGTATAGCCATGAGGCAGCCACGCTCTGTTACCTCCTCCTTTTCTTTGTCAGCAGTGTAACATTAGAAGAGTAAGTAACACTTACATTAGGGATATGGGGAGGGGAGGAATATTTACGACTGCTGTTATCCATGTTAACCTGCAGCCCATGGTTGAGGATCTAGCATTGCTAGCAAGATGCTACAGCTTGTACACCTGTGTCTCTACTGCTAAATAAAAGAGGACGCGGGTGCAAGCTTGAGTGCTGGCCTAGCGCTCACCCAGACTGGTCCTAAGCACAATGCCAGGCATGATTCAAGGAACTGCCCAGGCCAGGTGTCGTTCATGGACACGTCTAAAGCAGGTTTCGCTCCCCATACAGAGATCCCCCGTGGTGCGGATGAGGCTAGTCGGGGTACTGGTTCATGGGCCAAGGGACCAGTTCTGGCCCTCTTACTTACCACTATAGCCAGAGCCTGTGCAATGCTTACTGGTCGTCTACCAGCCTTGCTCACTGAACTGAGCAAAAAGGTCTCACCAAGAGAAATATATTCACCAGTAACACAAATTTTACGTACAAGTTTTGAATGGACATGCTAGAACATTCAAAAGGTATCTCATCATCTCTAACAGCCAAAGAGAAATGCTCCCAAGACCAGTGCAAGGGTCGTAAGCTTAGTACAAGCTTTAGTTGCAAGCGCAGGAGAAAAAATACTACCTAGCTAAAAGTAGGAGTGTTAAAAAGAAAAAAAAAGGATTAATGTTTCCTAGTTGCTTTCCATACGTAACTGAGGTAAGCATTATGCAGAATCATTGAATGCTAAAGCGCTGGGTGTCATTTTCTGACAGGGTATTAGGCGTGCACAGCTTCCACATACTTAGGTGGCAACAGCTGTCTGCTATCCAACTATTTTCAAGTCAAATTAATTTTCTTTTATGAAATATATACCCAGCATCAAAATAAAGCAGAACATGTCCTTTGACAAATGTTGCACAATAAGCTGGTTTCTCTGAATTCACAAAGCACTAAGACTTCTACACAGCTTTCCTAGCATTCACTCTTGTCACCAGAATGTTCAGCCTCCTGCCCCATTTCCTCCCTTCTCTTTTGTTACAGCACAATAAACTCAATTTTATACATTTTTACATCTGCAGTCAATCATAACTCATGCACTTAAGCTTACACAAAAGAAAAAGTTGAGCTTTCTTCAAAACAATCAAAGCCTACAGAAAGCTCCAGAAATCAATTAAAATGCTGTGATGATTGGACCTCTATCAACTATTTTGTGTATGTACATAGTTGCATTGAATTTCTGAAATATAAGTATTCAAACTCTCCATTCAAAGCAAGGAGCTACCATCTTAATGATACACAATTATCTGGCTTTATTTGGGACAAAAAAACCAGGCTGCAAAATACAAAAAGATCTTCCTTTCCAAGACTAAATCAAAGCCTTTATAAAAAATGGAAACTAATCCTTCCACCTCTAACCTATTGCCATATGAAATTGTCTTATTCCTGTGGATCGCAGCAGTATGTACGTTACTAGAGATTACAGTATTTTAGCCTGAAATGATCTGAAATAGCAGCCTGTTGTTTTTAACCTTTCTCCATACCTCAAAAGGAAGCCATCTCGGCAGCTGTCATCTTTGGGCTCCCACCACTGATCTGGAAGCATGCCCTACTTCAAGGGATCGCTTTCCCAGCGGACCTTAGGGTTAGAAAGGTTACAGTCATGTGGAAAAGTCCATCTGAGGGATCAACACCCTTGCCCCTCATCACTGTCCTCTGATACAGACAGAGCATGAGGGTACAAACACACCTCTCTGATTCCCAGCCTAATTCCCCATCTGTTCTTGCATTACTGCTCTGTTTGTGTAATGTGAAGGAAGAGGCAGGTCCAGAACCACAGGTGGAAGCCATGGATTTTAGGGACTATATCATGAAACATGGTATTAATGCTTACATTGTCAGAATAAACCATAATGATTAAAATCTAGAAGTGGAAAGGGAGGTGGTACGAAATGCTGAGCGTGATGTGGGCTCATTTCTCTACTTTTACAAAACAGTTAAAGGGTAGTGTGAGACAACTGCATTCTTCATGTGCTTTTCACACACTTTTTCAGGCACTTTTGAGAATGGAAAAGTAGAAACATACAGGTCACGTGGCCAAACTACAGGATTAGCTGTTATTTATGAGTCATCATTGTCAGTCTCACAGTAACTGGGAAACATGCATATTCTGTTTGAAGGAGATACACAGAACAGAAGAAGTTTGGTATCTTTAAGACTTAAGAATTCTCATGGTCTCACAGAATACTCTAAGGTAGTGTGATCACCATTAAGCCAGCACTGATGACTGTGAAATCGGAATAGTCAAGATGTAAACTGCATGGTAGAACTAGGCAGGGGAATGGAGATTTGCTTTCACATAAATCAAGGCAGGACATGGCTGCGTCCATGAATGAACTCCTGGAGAACAGAAGTAGCTGACCTAACGCTCTCTCTGCAACCAGAGGAATACGCAAAACCAGTTTTCAGGGCTTGCTTAACCCTTTCAGATGTTTTCAAGAATCCGAGAGAAGCCTCAAAATGCCTATCACTGCTTGTAAAATAGCTCCCATCTGGGATGTGGGTTTCCACACTGTGATGCTGGAGGCTTTCTTCACCTGTAACGGGTGACAGGGGAAGTAGAGGCCCACTTGCTACTGTTACTAACAGGATTTAACATTTATAAAACAATTTCCAGAAGAAAGCAGCATATAAATGTTTTGCATTTATGAATTATTCCATGAGGTAAAAATATACAAGCAGCCATGTTTGGCCCACACACAATAGAAAATTATCAGATGTTTGGTTCAACATAAAATTAAGAGTTCCTTGCTTTCACCTAATTGGAAACCAGGGCCCAAGTTGCAGTGCTGCTGTATTTACCCTGTAGGGACAAATACGTTCATCTTCAAATCATTGCTTATTTGCAGCGTAACTTATTCCACTGCAGCTGGTAATGCTGACGTTCACACATTTCATCACAACAAGCTGTTTTGCTTGTAATTATCCACAGACATCAATGCCCACGTTTCAATAGCAGTAGCCCACTGCTGGAGGGCTTCTACAGACCCTGCAGCAGCCCCCTCCCTTTATCTGGAGGTGTTGCCGGCTCAAACGCTAACCGCAAAGGTTGCAGAAGAGCACTTGCAGCCTGCACAAGGAATGTGCACCCTGGCTGAGCTTGTCTAAGTTGCTTAAACTTCACACTGGCCTTTCAGAAAACTGTAAATATCTATATTGTGCCTCACATTATGATACTGCTATTTACATTCCAACAACTGTATTTATATTTGAACAGCTGTATATCTGGGGGGGAACCATCCTGAATAATTGTGTTGATTATAGTTAAGAAGTGAAGGCATTCAAATATTTTTTCAGTCACCGAAAGATTTCTAATAATACAAATTTTTACCCCACTAATTATATTTCTAGAAATAGATTTGTGAAATGCTAATTATGCCACTTAATAGCCTCTATTTCAGAATCAAGTGGCACTCAAGAAATTTGGAGATTCTAAAAAAATCCACTTTGGATTTGGGAAGAGACAAGGTAATGTCAAGAAGTAACAAATCCCCCAAATAAGTGATTTTTTTCTGTAAATTTTCTAGCATAACATTGCACCTGACTGCTTATATATTAATTTTGGCTTAATTATACACTAAGTTTTGTGATGTGGAACTGGAGTGTCAAACAAGGATAAATGACAGGACCTGGGACTCAAAGAGTAGTCTCTCTCTGTTATTCAAAGGATTTCTATCTAACAGCTTCAGCCGAATTTTAAATACTTTTCCTGCAAGAGTTTTTGTTAGTCCCTTACAGCATCAGGTGGCTGGATACAAAAGGTATAGTGACCTGGCCACATACGTAGTGAGATACTTCCAAGAAAGTCCTTTGTCGTGTCCAACCAGTGAAGATTTCCTGAGGCATTACATCCATGCACCAACAATCTTTCTACTGCTATCAAAAGAAACACTTTCAAAGAGCAGTGGGCCAGGCTCGATAGGCGCCTGACTCTGGCAACGACACCAAAATTTATTTTTGGGCAAGTCACTCCCAAGACAAACATCTTTGCTCACTATTTAATTGAATCTCCTTTAAATCTTCGTTGGCAATTTAATGGGACAAAACAAGGTCAAGAAGAAAAAAGGTGGCAAGGTCTAAGTGTAAGATGATCCTCTGCTCCAACACTGCAAAGGACTTGAGAACATTTATGTCTTCAGAATACAATTATATTTGAACAGTGTGTAACATTCATCAAAATAATGTATGATTAAAACTAGCTTAGATGGATTTTAAATTGACCAGCCATTAAAAGTTATTGAGACCCACCTGATCAGTCATGAATTCTGAGAGGTTAAGTGTGACAGTTTGGCAGAACTTAAATATTGGGACTCTAATGCACAGCTGAATATGAAGGGCAGAGTTATAAATGCCAATGTAATTTGCTGATGCAACCATACATAGTGGTCCATTTCTTTCATCTTTATATAAAGTTGGTCAAGACCTTGTCTTGCCTAGCAGAGGAGCAGACTCCAGTCCACAAACCGTAAGGGAGAGAAGCTCCTGTGTCTTGATCCATGAATCCTATTTGAAGGCCTGAGCTTTGACCTTGTTCATTGTTCTTGCTCGTTCAAATTTCTCTCAGGATGAGCAGCTTACTTTAAGATCCTTGGACCAAGCTGGGGGACGCAGGGAGTAGCCTGCTTTCTCTGCAGCCTGCTGTCTCTGGAAGGGATGTTGTAAAATCTGCTGCAGGAGATGAACCTGGAAGCAATTCAAATGGGTAAGTTTTTATACAAAAACTTTTCTTGCGAACAAGAAAAGTCTCTGCCACTTCCTATTACGCACCATCCTGGCTCCAGAAACTATTCCATGAGTTGCTTACTCATAGGCTCATAGTACTACTATTAATATAGTCACTACTATTTATGTTGTAATTAATACTATTAATAGTTTTGTTAATATTTTTAATAGTAATTGGTATTAGTACAATGTTGGTCAAAGTGTAACATGGGTTCAAAGTGTAAATGCAACAACTCTTTAATTAACAGTTATGTCTATTAATAAATATGTCAAGAAAGAAATAAGTAATTTTACCTCCGAGAAATCATTAAAATTAGCTTTTTGCACTGCTGATTCTGCCATCCAATTCCTAAGTATGTATCTAGGATTAACAGCTGAAACCAAAAGTAAATCATGTTAAATTTAGTTAGACATATTCAACAAAAGCAAAACACAGTCATTGAAACGTTTCATTGAAATCTTCAAGGTTTAATTTGCAGATCAAGAAAAAATGCATAAAAAGGAAAAGGAATGAATTTATTTTTATGCGCTGCTATTTCTTTTTAACCTTGCACAATCAGTAATGCCAAAGTGCCAAACAAAAGTTAGGATAGTGGAACCCCACATTGATACACCTGTTATAAAGATCAGCAGACTTTTGAAATGTGATTAGTTTACCATGGCCTAGGTTTGTGCTACACTGTTGGAAAGCGTATTTTAATGTTGTCAATACATTCCTGGAGATCATAAAATGAGTATTACATTATTTAATGTAATTTGAAGGAATTATTAAGTTATTCATTAAAGTATATGTACTCAGATATTCCTTCTTCTACATCATATATCAAAAGTTTAGCCATAAAAGCTTTTAATGTTGGATTTCAGCTGTATTTTTTTAGAAACTACTTTTTCAACTTTGTCGTATCCTTTGAGTTTCCTGGGAGGAGGGGAGTGCCCAGTTTTTTCCACAAGTGCCTGCTGTATCTTCTGGGAAACACCCATGGCAGCTGCACTGCTGCTCTGGCATGTTCCTGGCTGATTCTGCCTAATTAGTGGCAGGGAGATTATAGGGACATTGAAAAAGAAACTGCGGAATTAGTAACCCAGGCTGTATCTTTACAGGTCAGCAACTCATAAAAGGAGTTCTGTCAAACTGTGTGCGGAGGACAATTCTCATAAGCACACATGGCTTTTATTAGCAATTTTTTAGCAGATAATGTCAACACAACTCTTATTTTTGCTCTGCAATTAAAGCCTAAGATTCTGCTTCAGAAAGCTTTCCCTTTAATTAATGATCAAAACAATGTTACAGATTAACTGTAACAAACATCTCAAGCTTGCATTGTAAGTCTTAATTTGTCATTGGTCTGCATATTTCTGAAATGCAGTAGCTGATTATTACCTGAAGAGATTAATCAGTGATAGCAGAGGCGTTATCACCCATGGACTTCAAACCAAAAGTCTGTGATTTACAGACATAAGCAAACTTCATCTGTTCCTTCTCTTTCCACTGATGTTCCAGTAGGTTTTATATGAATAAATGATAGTTCAAGCCTCATATTTTATACATTTCTTTCCAAAAAATCCACATAGCTTTATAAAATATTCTTATAAATACCCTTACAGCATATTTGAAAGAGGCTATTAGAGAAAACAGGGTATTCATCAAACTCACCATCTAAAACTTCCCTCTACCCATTTCCTCTAATCAATTTGTTATAATCTTATTTACAAATAATAAATTATATTAGGAGGGGGACAATCAGAAACAGTATTTTGGATAAAAAGATTAATCTTGATATTGTTCCATTTCCCAAATCACTCTGTTCTTGCCTCTCCTTGTACTGCTTCTTCAGCTTGCAACTGTAACTTGTTTATCCTAGCTGACTACCAAGACAATTGATGTCTTTTGAAAAGCTATGACTGGCTCCATCCAAGGTTTTGTGGTCAGACCATCACAGGACTTTATTTATATTTAATAGCTCCCCATACAGAATTAGTGCCTAGTGCAGTGAACAGACTTCCCTATAATAAGCACTGTTTCTAAAAAGCGCCATTTAAACAGCTAACAAACTAGAATTTACTGAAGCTATGCAATCAGTGAAACAACACTTGCATGATTATTTTATGTATCACAATATAATTCAATTCTTTAGGTTTGGAACTGAATGATAGCCATTTTAAGCCACAAGAGTTGACATACAGCAGCATTACACAAAGGGTCTTTACGTTATTTAGAAAAGGAAAAAAAAAAAAAAAAAATCACTCTCTGCTCTAGGTGCTGAACTCTGACCACTCATGTTCCTGCCAGAAGACAGAAGGTGAGGCCCTCTTACAAAATCAGAACATGGGCTGAAACCAGAAGCATCTCTGGTGGCGCTGCCGCTCCTTCTTTTATAAAAGCTGCCCAGGTAATAGAACAACGTTCTGGCACAATGTCCAGGTGCTGACTTCCATGAGAACGAAGACTGAGATGCAATCCATCCAGACAGAGACCACCTTCTTTTTCATATTACCGCTGTGCTGAATGTACTCACATGTATTAAACAAAAGCCAATAAATATGACTAGCTATTTGGAACACTGAAAACCTGTACATAGTCACAACACCCTGCCCTAACTGCTATAGAAATAGTGTTTTCCCACTCAGCAAGATAATTTGCTCTGGCCAAGCATTTGATTTAATCCAGTAAATGGGTTTTCAATAGTATAGTGTGATAACAATATAAAAAGAATATTTAAAAGGTGGAGAAGTTAACATATGACTCATACAAAAAATGGTAATTCACATTAAAACCATGACTCATATTAGCAGGAGAATATTTGTCCCAGAAATATATTCTTAACAATTGCAAATTGACAAGTTTCGCAGTGGTGTTAAAAATATCTGTAATTAACACAAGTGACAAGATAATTATGAAAGACTAAGACAAGCCAGATAAGAAAAGGACAAAGCAGAAGAAATTTTGTGCCCTTATGAGCATTTTATGATCTGGTCTACAATTATTTTTTTTACACGTTTCTTTTGTGAAGAAATACAATTATAGACTTGTATTGGGATTTGGATTGTCAAAACTTTTTGATCAACGTTTAGGCAGTAAAAGATAAAGTGCCACTAAGAACTAGAAACTAAATGAAGAGAGAAAAAAATAAAGATAATAAGTGATGAACTTCAAATGCTTCAAGGTAATATACTTTGAGAAGTAAGATATTTTACTACACTCACTAATGATGAGGGAAAGGTGATGAATAATGAGGTTAATGGCAATATATTCAAGGTCAGTCAATAACTAAAGACGAAATTTAGTGGGACATACCAACCCATATAAAAATCTAGATAGAGAGGCACAACAGTTTTGTCTTTAACATGAAAAGCTGGGTAAAAATGTACAATTGGCTGAGCTGAGCCAGATTTCTGCTGTAAGTTGTACTGACAAGTGACAGCTGTTACAAGCAAATACTTAAACCAACAAAAGAAAAAAATTAAAGATACCACAAGGGGCATCTAAGAGATCTATTTAAATGTATAGATGTAAAAGAGAACACCACCACCACTCTGTAAGAAACTTCAGTCACACTGTCATATGGAGCAGCTAGCAAAAATGTAACAAGATTTGTTGATTTTAAAAATAAAATTAAACTTCAAATAAAATAATAACAAATTAACATTGGTAGCCTGTTACAAATTTCGGCAGCTCTGCTGTATGAATATAGAGTGATGACCAATTACACGGAAGAAAAGTTAACTAACTTAACCATGAATCTCTGCATATCAAGTTTTGGACTGCTACCAAAACTGAGACCGCTAGAACAAGTGCGATCCTGGCGGCAAAACCTTTTCCTTGTTTCGTCTGTCTTCTGTACTTCTGAGGTGCAGATGAAAAAACACGATGCTTGTTTGCAGATCATCCCAAACTCAGAATGTCATGATTTTCTCCAAAAGCATATTTAAAAAACCATAGAAAAATAAGAAGTGTGTTTAGACAGTTTTCACATTAAATTTTAGCTGAGAAAAACAGGGAAGCTCAAAAACTTGAAATAGTAGTTGAGCTAAGAGCCTCAGAATCCCACAGTTGAAACTTCTTAACCCTAACAAAATACAAATAATAAACCAAACCTTTCTTCTTGGTAACTGTTTTCATATTAACTTTCTAAAAATACATGTAAAATTGTCAGAAGTGTTCTTAGAAATGGATAGAGCCTTGGTTAGAAAATGTGGATGCAAACTTGAAGGTCCAGGTGATGATAAATTGTGCCCTATGTAGTTTTGATTATCTTATTACTGCAAGCCAGTGCTATCATCTGCCATTTGCCTACTAAATCAATTAAAGCTTTCAAAGAAAACGGCCAATCAATAGCTAATAAAAGAGTAGAGCCATTTCCATTAGAAATGGGAACAAAATACCCTGCAAAGCAGTGTAACATTGAACCTTGTAATACCCCTTGTGCAGAATTTTATCATATCCTGCATTTCCTTCATTCCCTTTTGGCCAGAGATTTTCAGTTGCTCATTGACTTTATAAGCAAATTTCACAAATTTACCACAGCTTACTGCAGATCCAAAAAAATCTCCCCCTGAATAATATAGACAGCTCAATGCAGTACCGCTACCATTTTGTATTTAGAATAACTTGGAGAATCAAAGTACCTTCCTTTGACTTCCATGACTAGATAGTCCTTTCACAAGTAAGGATTTTTTTTCTCCAGGTGCAGGAAAAAAAAAAGTGGGTGCCTATCAGAAACCTGAATTCTTTATAACATGTAGAAAGGATTTGGACTTATTTGAACACTCAGACAAATCTTAGTCCATTGAGCTAGTGCCAGTACAGGATGCCTACCAGAATCTTTCCTGATGTTATCAAAAGTTCATCACTGGAGAAGAACAATGTTCTTCTGAGCAATGCAAACCGACACATTCACAGACTTCTAAAGGAAAGAAATACAGATCAAGGAAAAGATGTTGCTTGCACTCAGGAAAAGCAGATGCAGCAGAAGAGGAAGGGCATCTCTCACAAGGAAGTCAAATCCTAGGGGCCCCTTCAAGGAACACCCTACTTTGCAATGAAGAGTTACAACTTGGGGAGCACCACTTCAAGACACTAAGGTCTTAAGACACGACAAGATACAGACAACCATGTTCCCACAGGCCAATAATAACCTTAAGTTCTTAAGGGAATCAAAAGGGGAAAAAAAATGAATCAATTCCACAAGCACCAAAGAAAGCATGGAACAAGCCGGAGGCCTTGCATCTCCTGAATCCCCAGGATTTATGGAAATCATAAAAAAGGAGGTAAAAAAAATTAAGATAAAAAGAAATATAAAAAGTTAAACAAAGAACTACAGAAAAGAAAATAAATAAGTAGGTGAATGAGGATTGATATGGAATAGACCATATGTGGACAACTGAATTCAATTGCTTCACTGTCTATATTCACATACGGTGTGACACAGGTCAGAGCAGCCTTTGTGGATACTGATAGGAAAAGTCTTCTTCATGAGGTCTTCATCACTTGTGATTTCAATCACCCAAAATATGAACAGACATGTGCTCTGTCACTGCAGACCAGCAGAATCTAGAGAAGAGCAGCTTGGACTAGTAGTTGTGAGGCATTTCACAGATCTCACGCTCTCAGGCCTCAGTCAACTGATATGACCACGACTGTATCCACAACAAAAGGGGATTGGGCCAGACCAATTTCTTCATAAACACAGATAATTAAATTAAGGATTTTTTTTTTTTTTTAAGGAGGGTAAAGGGGGATCCCTAAGGGGGAAGGGAGCCTCACTGTAGCCAAAGGACTTCTTGATCATTTAACTCATGTAAAAAGTACATATATATTCACAGGTCTAGCCATACACTCATGGCTAGATTCTAATCACAAGAGTGGGTGAAACCAGAGATAGCCACAGTGAATGTATAGTATTACAAGATTCGCAGCAGTGTAATGAGAATGTCTCCTCTTCAGAAAAACAGTACATTTTAGTTCTCCTCAAAAGGAAAAATAACCTATGTAAATAGATATTTGCTATCTCCAAGCATATGATTCCTTTGGAGTGTTTTACTCACTTGTCATTCTTGTTCTTCTCCGCGTGTCTGAATCACCCTCATTACTATACATGAAAAACAAAACAAAAGAAGAAAAAAGAAAGTGCTTTAGCTAATGAGGGTTATGCTTATTTATTTTTAGAAATATCTTATTTGACTTGCATTAAAATCATTAAGTGTTCTGCTTTTGTGTTCAGTGGAAGGAGGTGTGAATCTCTAAGAACGATTAGACTTAGACAAAACTGCACACTTTCTTGTAGGTTTTGTATCTTGTATTGATTTTTTTTCCCCAAAGAATTGTATTTACTGACTAAAATTTCCGAGTACCTGATACGTACTTCTTTTCAATACTATCAGCCATGCATACCATTTATCACTAAGAAAACCACGTTACATTCTTTATTGATTTAAGACAAAAGAATTGGTAGGAAGTTCTAACATGCATGTCTGTATCTATGCAACACCAGCGGTTTCCAAACACAGTCTGTGTATTCACAACTGTTCAACTCTCACCCCCAGTCATCCTAAAGTAGGATTATTACATAGTAAAAAATATATGCATTACCAGTAATGAAACACTATTCATTCCTATGTATTTGCAAAGCCTATTTGTGATTCTTGGACTGAATCTGTAGGACTAGTATTTTAACAAAAATTATCAACCAAAGAAATCTGATCGGTTGCTCAGTGAAGGACAAAAAATACAGACATGTCATTTTTACATACCTGTGTGTCAAAACAGAACTACAATAGTAATTATTATGGAATCTAGCACAATCTAGAACCATAAAGACAAAAAAGGCATATGAAGCCATGTTTGGGCCAGTTTACCATATCTGCTAAAGATTATGGAAAATCATTGCAGATTAAAGTCGCCTGCTTCCAGCAAATACACATCTGGTGTTATTTTTACACTTGAAACTGCATCAGACTTACTGATTTAATCTCAAGAGGTACATAGCAATCCATTTTGAAAATAACTTGTGTTTACCCAGATCCTGGAGAGCCCAGAACTCCTAAAGAGAAAGAAACAGTCATGGTGGGTAATCAGAATTTTGTTCCTGTTAAGCAAAACCCAAAGCAAGTAAATGAATATTAAAAGGATTTAAAATGAAAACATATAATGACCCCTCAAGGAATTTTCTCCCCCAAAATTCTACTAATATATTTTCCTCTTTATTAAAATTCTTTCTTTTTGCTAGCATGACACATCCATATTAATCTATCTCTGTTACGGCAAATTCTACCTAAACACCTCCAGCACTTCACTCTTATTTTTCCTTATTGTCTGGCTTATTGTCTGATCTATTTCATTTTTTAGACTACATAACTAGAGGTTTTACTCTCTTCTGACTTTTGTGCATGGATCAGATCTATTTGTAGAGATTTTTTTATTTTCCAAAATTGTGGAATAAGGAAAATATATTGATAAAGAAAGATAAGGTGTGGAGACAAATAGAAACTTAAGGCTAAAGGAATAGGAGAAGACTGAGGAGAAGACTAGAGACAGTAGGAGAGGAAGAAGGGAGAAGAGACAGAACTTGGAAAAGGCAAACAGAGATAAACCAGAGCTTGGGGTTACTGCCTCCAGTGTTGGACAACCACCACAAACTAGGCTTCCCTGGCTGACTGCACTGAGCTAACAGCTGCTTCATGTTGCTTGGTTGAGAAAAAGTAGCCAAAGCTCACAGACAAAAAATGAACTTCAGAGAAAGAACAGATTAGAAAGAAATGGACGCAGATAAAAGAAGGTAAACAGCAGATATACAAGAAAAAAATGGGCAGAAGTTAAGAAAAGGAAATTAAAAGCAAGAACAAAACAAAGTTTTGATCACATTGTGTTTTTTTTAAAAGGAATGGGAGTCAAAAATATAATGAAAACCACATTTAGGTATAAAAATGAGTTAAAATTACAGAAGTGACTAAGAGCTGGGGGTCAGGCAGGTGGATAACAGGCGAGTGTGGGAGTCAAGCATTTGTTCAAAGGTGTGCCGGGTTAGGCTGCTTTAGGAGGAATTTCAGAATGTTTCCAGTTAATACTAAATGAATGTAAGGACTCCTGCAGTGTTTCCAAAGAATTCTGGCATTTTTAGGTCAATTTTGGTGTGCAGCTGGAAAAAAACATAAGAGAGGGGGAAAAGTTCTTCCTAACAGACCCATCTTAAATGTGAAGAAAATCACATCCTCACCTGTGCATGAATATTTATGACTACTCATACTGGACCTGTACCAGAGGCTGAAAATCTGACTTCAGCACTCTTCATTAATGTATCTTTCATTAGCACTCTTCGTTAACGTATCCTTCATTACCAGACACAGGCTTAACATGGGGTGGTAGCACGACACAGATATATAAACCTCCCTGTCCCTTAATAATGCTACAATGACACATTTCCCAGACAAATCATGGCTTGAGACATCCTCTATTATACCAGGGTTATGTGCAATTTGATCGCTTATTTTGTATCAAGTATTCCTAAAATTGGAAATAATACCTCAGGAATATGGAGTTCCTTTAACTGGTCTGCAGTAATTTCACTGAGCTGTCGAAATGTCATTGTAAAATCAGCCTTTGTATCTTCCATAAGCTAATGAAAAGAAGATACTTCTATTAGTGTTTTTAAAGTATGGGGTATCTGTTCAGATGTGTGCCAACAAAATTAGCAAAGCAAACTCACTTTTAGGAGGAAAGCAATCAAATAGTTATCATCCTCATTCTCCCCAAGAAGACCCAATTTTGTTTTGAATAGTTCTGTGAAACTGAAAATAGTAACAAAGTAAGGAAATTGTTACATAATATAATTTATAGTACGGTGATTACAAGGTTTGAGTTCTGGAACTGCATACCGCATGTAATAGCGCTCACCATACCCCTCCAAAATCTGGGAAGCTCTGCAAAAACAAAAGAAATGTCAAATTCTGTGGAACTGAAATACTACCATGGGTACAATCCCACTGTACACTAAACAATGAAAACTTCCGTCTGATACCTCACAAACATCGATATTCTGAAACAAGTGAGATCTGTAGTGAGAATAAGACTGAGGAGAAACATTTTAACACGCTTCAAATACATAAATAGCTGCTGCAAAGAACAAAAATACATTGTTCTTTGTATTCACACCAAGTAAAATGTCAGTTTAAACTGCACAAAAGAAGATTCGTATTAGGAATCTTTACAATAGGATATTAGAATACTGTCTCATTACTTCAGGAGGGTGTATGGTCTTCATAAGTAAGCATCTTAAAGAACAAGCTAGACAAACTTAGAATAGAAAACTACAGGCAAAGGTCCTACCTCAGTGAAAGGAGAATGGACCACACGACGTCTAGGACCACCTTCCAGTCATATTTTGCTATTATTTATGACCAACGGAAACTTTTTTTCCTTCCTTCCAACCTTATTCTGGCCAATAATTAATTCAGAATCAATTTCCACTTAGAAAAAAAGATTTTAAAAGCTAATCCTTTTCTTTCCCATGCACGTGGTGATTAGAGGGTCTCCTATCCCATTCTTTTAAGCATTAAGCATTAAGATATTTTAAGGATTACTTACAGCTGCTTTTGCCTGGGATCCAATAAAGGTTTTAGAGCTTGTAACAGCTTGCTCAGATTAAACAGCCCAACATTTGCCTGGTTTCCTATTTTATACCTCCCTTCATCATCAGATGTGTTTGGAACAAAATCTGTTTCAAACAAAACATTACTTTTCCATAACAGAGTGATCACAATAAACAATTGATGTTAAAATACTGAAGTGCATTAATTTTTATACTTACACAGCAAACTAATAAAAGCCCTAAAATTACTAAATATTTAAAATCAGATCCCAAGGATACTAATTTACAGTGCATTAACTCAAGATCTATTATTTGCAAATCTAAGGAATACATCCTTCACGGACAAGTTCCCATGTGTCACAAGTGACATTTTTCCTACTTGAAGATACAAAATAAATTCAGATCTTTAAACAGAAAAAAGACCATTTTTACACTAAAATCAATGTCTGATTCAATGTTTTTTACTACATATAATGCTACTATTTAGCACACAGGCTAAGCAAACAACCAGATTCAGGATTTGTAAGTATTTTTGGAAAAGTAACATGTATAAACATGTATTTAAATAAACAGGAAACCTAAGCAAGATTTGTTTCAGTTGTATTTAATTGATGAAGTTCACTGGAAACATTCTCCTGAAAATGGGTTTAATAGTAATAGTTCATTAACAAGACTTTTAGCACTTGAAATGCAACCTGTATAGCGTATCATAAAACTGGGCTCTGATATATCGTTTTCCCTAAAACTTTTCACACAATGCACATGCTTGGGATTTTTCTGCTAATAATGCTGGGAGTTTTCATGCACACAGGAACTACATAAATTAATACAAAGGATTTATTTAAAATAAAAAATTATATTTAAAAACAGGTGCTACACTCACTTGGGTCATAGGAGTCCATAAATCCAAATGGACCATAATCTATTGTTATGGATAATAAACTGAAGTTATCTGTATTGCACACACCTATAATTAAACAACAAGGAGAAACAAAAGTTAAAATTCCACCTGTAGTCTCCTGAAAAGTTGCTGTGAAATAGATCCACTGAATCTAGAGAACTTAGGAGCAGTTCCCTTTCAGAAGACAGACTCTGGAAAATAAACTTTCTCTTCCCCTGGCCTGGCATGCATTTTAAGTATGAAAATGAGAAACTGTTCACTACATTATCTTGCATCTGTTTTCTATACCTAGGTGGCACTGTTTCCTTTTCAGTTCTACACACTGTTGAAACAGCATCTTGCAAACAGCATTAGATACTTCCTTGCAAGTTGAATGAGTGCTGTATTAGTTATTTTTCATAACATAAATCTGAAACAAAGGTAGACAGTACTGTATCCTAAACACTATAAAAGGCCAGGTTTTTATGTGGATGCATCAACTTCAGAGCAATTAAACTTTTATATGACATCAATATATGGTCTTCGTACATCAGACTATTACAACAATTCTGAGAATTCTTACTCCCATATTCTTGCTTCTGTCAGATACAGTCACGCCTCGAAAGAGCAGAAATTCTGATCAGAAGCTCCTAACTCTGTTATGAAAAAACTTGTATTTTAATGCATAACAGATACCGCTGTAGGGGAAGACATCAGAAGAACTGAAGAACAAAGTGAGAAATAAAAGCCACCTCTAAGTGTATCACTCTAAAGAGTCATTCCTGTAAAGTCAATGCCATCTATTGCAGCTTACCATGTGCAAACCCCACAGACATCCACAATGCAATCAAATTTGCTGTCTCTGATACGACTGTAGAGAAAAAATCCTAAAATCAAATAAAACTTTTACTTCAAGTCCTCTGATTCAAAAATATGGAATACAATAGATAACATAAACATTTGATTCACTTTAGAAATATGACATACATTCTATTTTTAAATGTATACCTCTGTCTGTCAGGACTTTTCATTCACATTCTAAATAATGTGACTGCACAATAACTTTATCCAGCAAAGACTATGATTAAATAAGTACATACAGATGCCCTAAAAGAAATTAGGAAGTCAAAAAAAGAAACAGACACTATATATACTAGTGTATATACTAGTAGTATATATATTACATTTACAATAAAAAAAACATAATTCATCATTTCATGACCACTGCTCACTTAAAATCTAAGCAGTATGAGAACAAAAAAATAACAGAAAATGGAAGCTTCCCAACAAACATTTCCATAATGAAAAGTGGTGAAAAATGTTCATATTTGACTTTGATAAAAAAACAACTTCAAGAAGTAGGTTACTGAAGAGAGTTAACAAACTTTAGCTAATAAAATCTGAAAGCTTACTTCAAATTTTAAAACCTTTTAAAACTTAAAAGTTTGAAAAGCTTTGTATAATTTTTGTTCACATGCACATGTGGAAAATAAAAATAACTTTTAAAAAAGACTTACCAGATATCTATTTGAATCATTCAGGGCTACTGATGGAAAATGTTCCTGGATGATAAAGTCAAGCAATCTTCTGTAATAGGAGAGGCAGAATTCTTTAAACAAAACTGGTAGTTTTAGAACTGATTATTCAAAATTCTTTTTTTCAAACAGATAAATGCTGATCTACAGCTTGCTGCAAACACTGATTAGAAAATGCAATCTATTCATTCCAATGAGTCTTAGATTAAGACCTTCCAAATGCTTAGAGACAAAACCTAAGGTTCCAGTTATAAATACGACTGGAGACTGACATGCAGAGCTAAAATTTTTCCCACGTGTTAAACTTCCGGAGCACACCAGGATCTGGTTTTGCATGCAGTAGCATCAATTTTTTAGGGGGAAAAAAAAAGTTTGTGCATCCAAAAAAAAAAAGTATATGATTACAAGGAATAATTCTACATCAGAATTCTCACAAAGAAAATGTTATGGCTGAAATCTTATCAAGTAGGGTTACTTGCCATAGTAACTGGCCATTCCCAAAACAGTGCTGCATAGTCCTACAAGACAGGCTCAGGAAACTGGGATACATGCATTAAAAATTGCAATGCCTGTCAGATGCTTATCTTTGTAGATCTAAAGCTTTAAAGTAGAGTGGCTGGCACGTAGTACATTTAGGAGGTCCCTGTAGGACCCTCTTGTGGTCACAGCCAGCCAGGGCCACTGGCACAGGAAGCTGTAAGCACTATCTAACACTTGGAGTAGGCAGCCTGGGCAAGGATTGGAGCTGGGCAAGGGTTGGACTTGGGCAAGGGTTGTCTGGCTGTGCACACAAATATCTAGATTTTACCTTCTAATCAGGTTGTTGGAGCAAATCACTGAACTCTCCTCAAACTATGATGATTTTAACAGGGTACCTAGCAACCTGACCTTTAGACAGGGATCCAACCTATTGCCTCTGAATTTTAACTGTTTGCTCCAGGACATGCTCTTTCAGGAGGACCTTCTCTGTGGGGGAAGCACAGACGGTCACACTAGCCTTGGCCTGCACTTGGCCACTCTTTCTGAGGCCCCCTCCAAAACAGGCAGGAAGTAGTCATCTATTTTGCATGAGTACAACTGATCTTTACCTGCTACTTAAATCCAATGGGTCACAAATACTTTAACAAAACAAAACCAACAAAAAAACCCCAAAACTTAAAATCAGTTCCTTAATTCAGTTTTACAACTAAAATCTGCTGTGAGATTTCAAAAAAAAGGAAAGAAGGACAGTATAGAGTGATGAGGGAAGTTAAATTGCATTATCAATTACAACAATGTACAACTGCTGCTATGAGTTCTTGCTCATTTTTAAGCACCCCAGCACAATTTCTACTGCTCCTGAGAAGAAATTACCAACTTTAAAATATTTACAGTAAACATAAAAAATTGGCATGCTAATTGCATGACACACACAAAAAAGCTTATCTTTCTAAATTATGTAATCTTCCCTTCTAAATACTTTGTCTAAATTCCAGCTGCATTCTAACACGTATTTGATTATTAAGAAAACTAATATAGTTACTATGAAGATTAAATTCAAACCTTTGTAAGTCCAGTTCCCCAGAATGAGCTAAGATTTCTAAGGATCCTATACGAAACCACGATTTGGCAAGACGTAGCACTATTGCACCTTTAATATAGACACATGTGTTTAAATGTAAACAGAGTATCAGCAAAATAAAATAGTTCCATAGTAAAAGCCATCATGTGTTGTTTCTATAGACACGGAATTTATATATGCACAGTTAAACTGGTATTTTTCTAAGTGTGCTCAATGCATAACAGATAAATATGTATAATATTACTTTACTACACATACATTTTAATGATAAAGCTTAATTTGCTATACCAGCAATCACAGGCAAAATTCCAGTACTGCATTAATAAGAAATTACTCCAGAGATGCTAGCAACAAAGAAAAAATCAACATAAATAGATTTTTCCCCATGCTGTGCCATCCCATTCTTTTTCAGGGCAGTTGTAGGTGATGCAGCAATGGCACAGCGACAGTAGCGTTCCCGCAGTCCTAAAACAATGGAAAATTTCCCTAGTTTTCAATATCATTTTTGTAATGGCAAGTGAAAATAAAAATTATACCCCTACAACACATATGCCACAATCATAGCAGACCTGTTCATAGGGCTTCATTTCTTTAACTAAGATATATTTCAGACTGATTTTCTCAGAAGAAGTTTTATATCTTAATAATTGAAATTAAGCCTATTTAGTACTTTCTATTACACATATTTGACATATTAAAATTAATTTTTGCAATGGAGAGTTAAGTTACAGTATTTCAACATATTATTTTTAAATGTGTTCATTACCTCTTTCTTTCTTAATATTTCCATTGTAAAACTGGTCTCTCCACACATCATCATCACTTACAATTAAGCTGTAACAAACAAGAAACGAACATTAAAGTTATCTCAGCAAAATAATTTACAATAAAGATCAAGTCATATTTTATATAACTTTATTTCTTTCATAAAAAGAAAGATCTTCTTGCTGGCATAGCTTTGTATTTACAAATGACACAAACAGTAAGCTGAGGCTTACCAAGCTTCATTAGCAAGATGCATTTATTTTGTATTTATACAATGTTGTCCCATTTCCATTACTTACACTGTTCCTGGGCAAGGGGTTGCATTCAGAAAAAGTACTGCATTCATTTGGAACCTCAGTGACCAATTAGTGTGATAACATTAAATAAGTCACAATTTCCCTGAGGACAACAAGGAAATTAGGACAGAGAAATTAGAAACCAAATTGTTGCATCAGATGGAAGTTGCCCTTTACGTGAGACAAAATTGTTTTCTCAGGAACTTTGAGGACAGATCTGGGACCTTTAGCAATCAGGAACTGTTCAAATAGTATCAACACACAAAAAAGGCATAATTTTGATGACACATTATAATAATCCCTCTCTTCTTCACTGCTACTTGTACTTGGATTTTTGAAAACAATCTCTTCCTTCCATTTGCCTTAAAATTCTGCACATCCTATAAATTTTCATGTTTATCCAAATATTTAGATTTGTAAGTGCTTGGAACAACTTTGTTGCTTTAAAATACTTCACAACTTACATTCATTTTACAAAATAAAATACGTAATTTCACTGTATTTTCTGTTATATCAGAAAAAAATAAAATTGAATCAATCCTCACAAACTATGCAAGGGTATCATATTCCCCTAAGGTTAACGTGTAGGAAGTTTTCTCTCCAAAGCAACTGGGATTACACTGAAGATCGTCACAGAGTTAAAACAACTCCCAGGTGTTAAATTTTGAGAGTACACTAGATTCTGGTTTTATGTGCTTTTACATACATCAAAATTTTAGAAAGAATTTAGTTGGATCAAAAACGTGGGGTATGCATATAAACATAAATATGTACCAAAAAATCATGAAAAGGAATGATTTGTCTGAATTCTTACACTGTGCAGTTGCTTGCAACTTTGAAACTAAATTATTATTATAATATTCAGTATTTTTGACGGTATCTAGTAGCTATCCAAACTGTTAACTGTGAAGAACAGGCAGTGAATTTTTCCAGAAGAAGGGAAAAAGTATCTGAAAATCAATCTGCTCCCGTCACTGGAGCTGTACTGATACAAGCAACATTAGGAATTTTTTTCAAAAAAAGACTCTTTTGGAAACAATCATATATACGATCGGTATGTCAGTAGGAGTAAGTACAAAAAGTGCTGACATAAATGAGATGGAAGAAGAAAAACGTAATCCTTCAAGAAAAACAAAAGTATTCAAAACCAGGGAACCCCAGGCACTAACAAAATAGTGTGTGCATCAGAGCACTAAGGGAGACAAGTCAGAATAATAATGCTATTAAATTTTACTGTTTTGAACAGACCCCTGCCAAAAGCAGTTGTTTCTTTTTGGCGATGTAACTCTTAGCAAGCTTTCTGCAAAACTCATGCAGAATACCAGCACTTCCCTTATTAATGACAAAAAGTCCACGTGGGCATTAACATTTGGTTAGTTACTAATACGAGTTAATGGACAAGTAACACTTAAGAGCTGGCCAGATAGTGGAGCAGCCACATAAAGATAACTACATTCCCACTATAAAAATAGTTTTCAAATGGTCCCTGCAGTTGATAAGGGCCATTATTTGAGAGAAGGCAGCAGGAGATCAGACATACACTCAACCACAGTAAATGGAGCACTGAAATTGCTCTTACACCAGAGAAGCTGGAACAGCACTCACAGACGGATGGACGGATTATATCCCTCCCTACCCCTGGCTCTAGCTTAAGGGCCGGACTTTACAGTCCCAAGTGCTCTGCTTGCTGTTTTGCATGAACATCAAGCCCTATGCAAGTAAAGGCCACTCTGAAAACTATGACTATTGCCTCACTTTTTTGACCTAATACATAACACTGCTAACTGGTAGTCCCGGTATGTGACTAAAATGGTACCATATGAAGAAGTGTTCTTTATCTGGCAATACAGTCATAAAATGTAGCATCCCATTGGGAACACAGTAATTAAAATTAATAGAGCAAACCAACCTGCTGGGTGTTCCAGGATAAGCTGTAAGGTTTTTTTTTCTGCCAAGACTTGACAAGACCTCTGTAAGTGCATCCCACCAGCCTCAGTGCAACAGCTCCCCGTTGGGAAGAATATGGATATCAGCTGGGTTTTTTCCAAATGAAGTCTTGCAAACAGTCTGGAGAGCTTGTACAGCAGTTAAGACAGCCAGGCATTTAACCAATTTGCCAGCAAAGAACTAAAGCACACTGTGTACTCAATAGAATTTGTGCACAGTTAAGGAGTAATTTCATATCGGTTTTGCACTGAACAATTTATTGAGACGACAGCAAAGAAAGGCTTGCTTCCCTGCTGATACTCAGACAGATTTAAAGTTCTGCAGTAACAGCCAACAGCAAAGGGTCCCAAGGTGAAGTCAATGAGTAAACCATCAAAAATGTCATTTACAAACACTGCACTTCAACAGAGCAAATGTGTTGGAATTAATGCTAGAGAGATTTGCAGACGCTTTGCAAATACAGACACCTAGCCATGTGGCAGCTGAGTACAGGCCTTTTCTACAGAACAATTATTTTCTTTAAAGCCTGAAATGCTGGAGTACAGACACAAGACTATTTGGAACACAAAATGAACTTGACATTTTAAAAAAGATCATCTGAAAAATTTGGTTTACTTAATTCTGAGAAAATCATCCAAAATGAGTGAATGTATTAGTCTTCTTTGGTTCAAACAGAAGTAGTTTTAAATTACTTTTTTTTACAAAGTCTCCCTCTACTCAAGGGGTGTTTGCACAAACAAAGAAGTGAGAGCAACTGCCTACATTCAGTACTACCTCCAATACTAACATATATTCATCTGACTGACAATTTTTCCTACCAATCTTAAAAATTGCAACTAGGTGACTATGACAATACAGAAATAGCCACTTTCAACATTTTCCTACTTGGCCTGATTCAAGAAAAACTCATCCAAATGCTTAACTTTAGGGTTATAAAAGACTCATTCATTAACCATGTAAAATGTATTAATAGACTCATTGATTAGCCACATACACTAAAGGTATTATTATTTACAGGGCAGGATCTAGTCCTGCTGGTTTTGCAAGTCTTTTGATGAGCAACAAGGGAGAGAACAATTTATTATTTTTTTTTAAAGAGAAGAAACTCTTGATCACAGTATCACAAAAGCTGGAGGGGGGAGCTAGTGTCACACATAATCACTCAATCAAAGTTCCACTTTTTACTTTCTTTGCAAAATGAACCAGATTTCAAATTAAGGTAATTCAGTTAAGACAGTCTTACAAGTGAACAACAGCTGTTCGCTGCAAGACACAGACAGTACACAATATTGTATTTAAACAAAGTGGTACTTTAAAGCATACCAAAGACAAAAGTTTAATTGCTGGAGCTCATTATTACTGGAAAGTTTTATCCAAAAATCTATGAAACTGGAGGGATATATTTTGTTCTCATTGCATACATATGAAAAGAAAGATCTATCCTCTTGGAAACTAATTCTCCTGCTTTATTGATGCTCAGTGAAACTCAGTCACAAAATTAACTGTAAATAAGGATGCTGTGCAAAAGAAAAGAAAAATACCTAGCAGCTCTGCTTGTAGGAATTCCAAGATAGTGCATGGCCTCACTACACAAAAATTCTCGCACAGAAGAGCGAAGCACAGCCCTTCCATCGCCATTCCTAGGGAGAATAGAGAAATAACAAATAGGTCATAAAATCAAAGCAAATTTCAAAAAGAAAACATCCAGTTTCAGTGTACATAGATTAACTGCAACTTACCTGGAGTATGGGGTCTTTCCTGACCCCTTTAACTGTAGTTCCCACTTCTCACCATGCCTGCAAAGATACCATTAGCATTTCTAACAGTACACCTTAGACTATGCATGAATCAGCTAAACAGAATAGAGTTGAATTAGTCACTTAAAAAAGTCACACCTGTTTGTATATACTCCGATCAAGTGAGCTCTTCCATCACCCAGCTGACCTGCCCAGCTACCAAACTGACAAAAATGAAAATTAAGTTATTTTCTTCTATAATTTGTAGCAGCCGTACTTGAAACAGTACAATTTACAGGTAGGTTCTCTGTGATCTACACAATGTAATGACACATTTTCTCAGGCAGTCATTAAGATATTGATCCCTAAAGCTGTATTTCCACACTCACACCAATAATGAATCAGAAAACCACAGAAAAAGAATTAACACCAGTAATCCCTACTTTTTCCTCTACCTTCCAGCTATGACATGCAGCTACAGCCCTGTTTCTTTTGTGTAATGAGCTTTTAAACTGACACAGCTTGTAATTTATTTTTTTTTAATTGGAAATTATGAATCAAATTCTGTCATTCTTTTCCATGAATAATCTTACTCATTTCAATGAAACTTAACTCCTAGTAATCATAGTATTGCAGTGAGGCTCTGTCCTTCTTCACTCCTCTGAGCTGATAATACCTATCATGAATCAGAGCTTGTCAGGCTGCAGGGGTGCTAAGCAGACTCTGCAGCTAACAGAGGGTAAAAAGATAATTTGCTTCTGGCATAAACAGAAGCAAAGAAAGTAGAAATGGTACCATGAAAGAATATTATAGCTCTCTTCCATCTGCAGCCCCTTACAAAGAACAAATCTGCAATCAAAATGTTCGTAAGTGTTCATATACTCACAGGCACGTACTCATATACTTACAGATATTATCAAGGTGTAATTCACATGAAAAGACCTACATAATTCCACCCAGAAGAATGAGTGCCATAGTTACCTGATGACCCCCATACCTATGGGCCAATGGAACAGACCCAACCATCACTTTCCCACCACTGACGAACTGAAGAAAGTCAGATGTTCCTTTGACAGATATATCAAGATCCAAAATATTTTCAAGAACTTCCTGGAGAAAAAAAATAATACAGATGGTACTTGAATATGAACAAATTTTCAGTGGTAATTACTGTGTCTTCTCTACAGATTTCGCCATTAAAAGACATCTCACAATATGTTTTAAATGTTCTATTTGTTTAAAGTATATACTGATAAGCTGCTTTCACAATAAATAGCATATGAATATTAAAATATATTTTAGTACACATATTAACAATCCCTACTAATTAGAGAAGAACAAAAAAATAATAGCCAACCTTTGAAACAGCTACAAGACGAACTCTAGATTTAAAAGGTGTAGGATAGACAATTGAAAAAATGCAGTTTCTCACATTACGGACGTAATTTTCGTGGATCGTGTCAACTGGAAAAGGATCTGTCAACATCAAACAGACAAGAAATGCTTTTTTTAAAAAAAAACAATTAATCATATTATTCTAATAGCTTTCTTCTTAAATCCAATCAAAATACTTCAGAAACAATTAAAACCCAATTCTTTACCATGATGTATATTAAGCCTGCATGAAAAGCAAGCCCAAATAAAATCAGGGTTTTTTTCTGTCTGGGATTTTTGAAAAGAAGGATTGAATTCTGCAGTTAAAAAAAATGGTAGTTTTAAGATCTAAAACATATTTACGTGCAGACTCAATTAACTGTGATTAGAACAGTCTCAGGGTAGTTTTATATTGCACTCAATTATATGCAACCCTAAAAGATATTTGCATGAGACATAAAAGTTCAGCTACCCCCACAGCTGAACGATGTAGTGCAACAGATTAAGTCTGTGCACCCGTAACTGGGGCATAGTGGTCACCACCAAGTAACCTAGGAAACTAGCTTGAAGTCTTCTCTAAGTAATGTAAACAGCAAACGAAAGTCAGAAGATGCAGTTCCTGCTGTAGCATGTGTACTCAAAAGATGTGCTTCATTCTTCCTTCAGACCTACTCTGCATTCTGATCCATGGTAACAAAGGACAAATATTTTTTTAAAACACTGCACTAATACTGTGTGCTTTAACATCTTTATGGATTTTTCTTTCAACAAATTTACAATTCTGTGTTAATTATAAAACTGCAGTACCTCACAGTCACTGTTTTGTAAAAATGGTAAGGTAGTTAGCATCTCTGGAGACTTGCTGTTAGCCAAGTTTCTCAATACCTCTAATGACAAATCCTGTTACAGCCAGCTGCCACAAGATTTATCACTGATTATTATTTCTTAATGTTCCCAAGCAATTGTATCACCCGAAGATATTATTTATATAATGTTATCATATAAATTAACTTTATTATTATATTACAGGCAATTCTGTATGCCTGAAAGCTATACATACTTCAAACCAGGTGTCACAATATCAATTTTGCATTAACACATAACTGGGACGCACGCATCTCTCCATTACAATAAATTGCTAATACAAGAAAGGAAAACTCCTTATGGCCAATCTAGTTTTAATTTAAAAAATACTAAGTAATTGTGTGTATAAGGTCTTCACT